GTAGTCCCAGCTACTTGGGAGGCTGAGGCAGAAGGATCGCTTGACCCCAGGAGTTTGAGGTTGCTGTGAGCTAGGCTGATGCCACGGCACTCTAGCCCAGGCAAGAAAGTGAGACTCTGTCTCAAAAAAAAAAAAGTCTTACAGGCTGGAAGTCTTATACATTGCCGGTAGGAATGTAAAATAATATATCTACTTTGGCAGTTTCCTGAAAAGCTCAACATAAATTTTATCATAGGACCTAGCAATTCTCCTAGGTACCTACCCAAGAGAAATGAAAGCATATGTGTGCAAAAAGACTTATGCGCAAATATTCATAGCAGCATTATTCATAATAGCCAAAAACTTGAAATAACCAAAATATCTGTCCGCTAGTGAATGGATGGACAAAATCTGGTATATCCAGGGAATGGAAAACTAGCAATAAAAAGGAATGGGCCGGGCGCAGTGGCTCATGCCTGTAATCCTAGCACTCTGGGAGGCCAAGGGTATAGTGGTGCATGCTTGTAGTCCCAGCTACTGGAGAGGCTGAGGCAGAAGGATTGCTTGAGCCCAGGAGTTTGAGGTTGCTGTGAGCTAGGCTGATGCCACGGCACTCTAGCCCAGGCAACAGAGTGAAACTCTGTCTCAAAAAAAATAAAATAAAAGGAATGGAGTACTGATGCATGCTACAATAAACCTCAAAACATGCTAATTAGAAGTCAGTCATACATATTATATGACTCCATTCATATCAAATGTCCAGAATAGCCACATCCATAGAGACAGAGAACACACCAGCGGTTGCTTGTGGGAGTGGGAATTAACTGCAAATGGACCTGAGGGAGTTTTGGGGGTGATGAGATATTTCTTTTTTTTTTTTTTTTTTTTGAGACAGAGTCTCACTTTGTTGCCCAGGCTAGAGTGAGTGCCATGGCATCAGCCTAGCTCACAGCAACCAGATGGCCGAGGAATCCAATTCGCACGCTGCCTCAGCCTCCCAAGTAGATGGGACTACAGGTATGTGGCCACCATGCCTGGCTAATTTTTTCTATATATATTAGTTGGCCAATTAATTTCTTTCTATTTATAGTTGAAACGGGGTCTCGCTCTTACTCAGGCTGGTTTTGAACTCCTGACCTCGAGCAATCCGCCCGCCTTGGCTTCCCAGAGTGTGCACTACTTTTAATAAAAGGATTTGTTCTGTAAAATTTGGATTCAGTCAAAAGGCTGCACTCAAGGATCCAGAAGGCCACATGTGGCCCCACGGCCACAGGTTCCCCACCACTGCATCGGTTCCTTACATCCTGTCTCCCCTGTAGTAAAACAGTGAAAGCAGATATCACATGCATTTATGGAGGGGGTAAGTATTTGTACCATAGGAGAGGAACTCCAATATTATTATGAATCTCAGAGCTTATATAGCAACTGTCACATGTACCTCTTTTTCCCTATGTGGGGAGAGAGAAGGTTGAAGGGTGGGGGAAGGGAGACAAGGAAAGGAAGGATTAGAGAAAGCATGCTTTTCTTTTAGAATAAGCAAATCCACTCTTGAGAAAGGAGGGGAAGTTCTCTACCCTGTAATGTTGTAAGCATTTGGTTCTGGGCAAGAAAGATAGATTATGTCACCCTGTGGGAACAGGTGGCTTGGGTGAGTGGGTGGGGGCCTCAGAGGTAGAAGAGTAAGGAGAGGAGGTAAGTGGCTCCAGGTCTACCACCCTTAGAATTTGAAGAGCAAATGACTCTGGGGCAAAAAGGAGACATTCTTTATAACAAGTCAGTTTCATCGCTCAGAGCAACAGGGAGAAATCCCCAGAGGTTTGCCTTACAGCACCTGTCTATGGGTGCCCGCAGGACAGTAAGAGCCTTGGTTCTTACAGTCCCTGGATTCCAGCTCCCACTTTGTGTATGACGCCTGGGTATTTCTTTTACTTTCTTGCAATCTCAGGCATTCACTCAAAAGGATACTTTAAATATTCCGCCATCACCTTTAGATGTTTTGCAGTAGAAGGGTTACTGAATACTTAGTTCCTTATATTGCTGAAAATAGAAGCCTCCTTCATGTTTTGTGTTGAGATACAGTGCAAAAGATGTAAGACTTGGAATTGGGGGACCTGGGCTTTAATTCAATTTTCTTTAAAGCTATGTAGCCTTAATTTTGAGCAAATCATTAATCTCTCCTATTCCTAGTTTTCTCATCTGTAAAAGTGGAACACTAATAATACCTGTCCCCAAAGATTTATGAGAATCTAATCACATATTTTGAGCACCTACTACAGGGCCTTGCACACAGTAAGTGTTCAGTGGAAGCTTTTCGGAAGTATGATTGGTATTGGTTGAGCACTCTTTATATTTAATATTTGGAATTGAACAAAACACTTTGTCAGCAGCAATAATTCCTCAAACCTTGATGCTTTCCCGGACCTGTCCTTGTTGAGCTTTGATGGTAAAAAGACAAATGCAAGGCTGAAATGAGCTCATTGTGGAGTGGGAAAGGAAAAGGAAAAAACCTATGACGACCATGACACATGTTCAGGAATGACAGGCACCCTGATGGATGTGGGCTAGAGTGGGGAAAGTCAGCAGAGAACTCTTCATGGAGGAAGGGACAGTTCTCTGACCTTCAGAGTTTGCTGAATAGGAGCCAGAAAGACCAGGGAAGAGGATACTTCAGAAAGAGAGGACTGAACAGTAAAGGTGAAGTGAACCCTAATACTCTTGGTGAGTGTCACTGGATTTGCAAGATAGCTAGGCAGTGAGAAGCTATTGAGATGTAGCCATGGGGGTCTGACAGACTTGCTCCACAGCCCCAGGCCTCCTCTCCTCAGCATGTGGTCTCCTGTCCCCAGGGGTCATGGCATCACTGCTTTGAGGCTTGTTCAAAACATTTCTCAGGGGCCTTTAAGGAGACAGGAGTCCATTCTGCAAGGACCTTTTTCTCTAAGAACAGCCACTTCCACACTCACTGCATTTGCTTTGAATTGTATTCTGGTTGTAGGGCCCAATGAGAGGCAAGGGTCTGCTGTCCCTTTAAAAATACAAATTAATTATTTTTCTTAATTTTTTTTTTTTTTGAAACAGAGTCTTGCTTTGTTGCCCAGGCTACAGTGAGTGCCATGACATCAGCCTAGCTCACAGCAACCTCAGGCTCCTGGGCTCAAGCGATCCTCCTGCCTCAGCCCCCGAGTAGCTGGGACTACAGGCATGTGCCACCATGTCCAGCTAATTTTTTTCTATGTATATTAGTTAGCCAATTAATTTCTATTTATAGTAGAGACGGGGTCTCACTCTTGCTCAGGCTGGTTTTGAACTCCTGAGCTCAAACGATCTGCCCGCCTTGGCCTCCCAGAGAGCTAGGATTACAGGCGTGAGCCATCGCACCCAGCCCATAATATGATTTTGGATTCTGCATTTCTCTTATCGAAAATTATTTGCCAATAATTTTACTGTTTACTGCCTGCCTAATATTCCGTTGTACAGATAGATTAGTCCCTTTTTGTTGGATATGCAGGTTGATTCTGATTCAATATTAATGAACATTTTTAAGGCTCTTGGTTCTTGCTTTTCAGAAAAACACACCAATTCACACATTCTCAGCAGCAGGTGAAAGTATAGGTCTGGACTCCCAATTTATCTCCCTTTCTATTATACTAGTTTATAAAAGAAGTTTGCCTGGAATGCCAAGCTGATTGCAGTGATCAGAGATTACTTGTGTAGCTATTGGTGTAATTGAAAAATGACCCAAATGCTTTGTTATTTTAATTTTTCAAAATGTTGCCTATATTTCCCTTCTTCTTCAGGGAGAGACCAACAGGATTATAGCCTCCCACACATTGAATAAAAACTCTTCCAGATCGCACTGCATTTTTACCATCTATGTGGAGGTAGGTACAAGGCTCTTTGATCAGCCTGAGAGGGCCAGTCAATTCCCAATGGGGCCTGCTCAATCAGAAACTTCCCTCTGTGACAGTCTAACTTCAATTTGGATGTTTTGTAGGCCCATTCTCGGACTTTATCAGATGAAAAGTACATCACTTCCAAAATTAACTTGGTGGATCTGGCAGGCTCAGAGAGGCTGGGCAAGTCTGGGGTAAGTGAGGAGGGCAAGAGGTTGCTTCTCCACAAACCAGGGGCCCTGCTTCTGACATAGTGCCTATGCATGTGGGCCACCCCTCTTCAGGTATTTGTGAGCACAGTCCTGAGCTAGGTTATGTGAAGCATGTGGCCTTGCTAGAGGGACAGAATTGGCAGAGGTTGAATAACTGCTACCTAGGGGCAGTTTCTACCTATCAGGAATTTTATAAATGTTAAATGTGAGATAATACCCCTAAATGCTTAGCAAGGTGCTTAATACTCAGTAAGTGCTCATAAAATACTTCATACTATTACAAGTATAGCATTTCTCTATGTATGAATATGAATATTCATATGAGTGATTGCATGAGTATTTTATTTCAAATAAATACTTGTATGAGTATATTAGCACAAGCATTTACAAGAGTATTCAAATGAGCATTCATATGTGCATTCATATGAATGTTTGTATGAACATTCACAGGATTATTTGCTCAAGTATCTGTACAAGTATTCCTAAATGTATTCATATTAGTGAATTTTAAGTGAGTATTCAAATGAATATTCACATAAGTATTTAAATTCACATGAACATTCATATGAATATTTGCTTGAGTATTCCTATGAATTTTGGTATTACCATTATTAGCCCAAGATAGAATACAGTCCCATGACATTAAGGGAAGAACTTAGTTCTGGGAAGGATGCTCTGACCTGACCACAGATTTATAATATCATCCCAAACCAGGAGGGCAGCCATTCTTAGTGGGGCAGTCTCTCTACTCTGTCCAAAATATAACTGACCTTTGGTTTGTAGTCTGAGGGCCGAGTCCTGAAGGAAGCCACTTACATCAACAAGTCGCTGTCATTCCTGGAGCAGGCCATCGTTGCCCTCGGGGACCAGAAGAGGGACCACATCCCCTTCCGGCAGTGCAAGCTCACTCACGCCCTGAAGGACTCCTTAGGTGAGGGGATGTTGTTGGTGCCCAGGATGAAGGGTCTGTGTCCCTGGGGAAGAACAGGCCTGGCACAGCTGCCACTGATGATAATGGAACCCCTCCTTCCTGGTGGCATGGATTTACTTACAGTCCTTTCACAGTGATTTCAAACACATCCTGAAAAGACAGAATCACACACGGTGCCCTCTTTTTGTACCCAGAACATGCCATGCTATTCACTTCTCAGAACCTTTACTTAAGCTTTTATCTCTACTGGGAATACCTTCTCTTTTCCTGTCATCCCTAAACCAACTCACAGAATTGTTCATAGCCTTAAAGTTCTAGGAGGAGAGCTTCTCCCTTGACGTCTTCCCTTCCCCTGCAGCCTCCTGGGCAGAGCAGCCGGGGCTGTGTCTTATGATCCCCATGAACCTAGACCTTTGTGTTGGGCTTGACAACATAGTCACTGGTGTCTGATTGTTAACTGAGTGTCACCATGAACAAAGCTCTGGCTCATACTCCTCTCTCCCAACCCTGCCCCTCCCTGCCCCACACCATGTCTCCTCTTTTGTTTTTTCCTGACTGCTCTTTTAGGTATATCTGATAGCTTCTCTATCTTCTCTCTCTCTTTCCCTTGCCTCTCAGCCTCATACATGTTTGGGTATGTCCTCTCTGACCCTATCTTAATCAGTTCAGGATGCTATAACAAAATACCATAGACTAAGTGGCTTAAACAACAGATCTTTATTTTCTGCAGTAGTGGGGACTGGAAAGTCCAAGATCAAGGTTCCAGCAGATTTAGTTCCTGGTGAGGGCCCTGTTCCTGGCTTGTAGATGGTCACCTTCTCTCTGTATCCTCACATGGAAAAAAAGAAAGCACTCTGATCTCTCTTTCTTTTTTAAAAAGAACCCTAATGTCATCACAGGGGCCACACCCTCATGACTTCTTCTAAACCTTATTACCTCCCAAAGGCCCCACCTCCAAATACCATCACTTTTGGATTTAGGGTTTCAACATAAGAATTTTGTGAGGACACAAACATTCAGTTCATAACAGACTCCCACTAGCCCCAAGGCAGTCTCTTGGCAGAAAAACCACATGGTTCATGGCCCTTCTGTTTCTTGCTTTCTGCAGGGGGAAACTGCAATATGGTCCTTGTGACAAACATCTATGGAGAAGCCACCCAGTTGGAAGAAACAGTACGTATAGACAGCCAGTGTGACCAGGTTGGAATCTTTCCTCATGGGAGCCAGGACTGGGTCAGTTGACTCCTGGCTGATCTGGCACAGTATCCATAGGCATTATGAAGAGTAGAAAGATCTCAGGGATGAGTCTGAGCCAAAATGCTGAGTGGGGCCCAGAGGCAGGATCCAAACACCAGGCACTAAGCACTTCCTCTGAAGAAGAGGCCAAGGTAGGAGGCAGGCTCAGCATGAAGGACCATGCAAGGAAGGGAGACTGAGAACTAGCTTTGTGGGGGAAAGGACCATGTTTCCTGGGGTGCTGCTCCTATGAATGGGGAACAAGGACAGGCACTTACTTGTTCTTCATAATCATACATGTTTAAACATCTTGAAAACGTCACAGGATTCCAGGCTGTGGTTATAAGGCCTGTATGAGCAGAAAGGTATTAATCATCTGCCATGTGCAAGGTGGTGAGAGGGAAGTAGCTCAGTAGAGATGAGTCATACATGGCCTTGGACCTCAGAAATCCCAACTCAAGAAGAGAGAAGCCATGGCCCTAAGTAACATTAGAGGCCCAGATGGAAGAGACCTTCAGAGGAAGGCTGGAGGGAAATGACGAGGGATTTTTCCTAAGGCTGGAGTAGGGGAAAGTGGGAACTGAGCTGGCTGGGGTTAAAGGATTGGTGGTAGGATGAGCAGAGGTGCTCCTGGCAGAGCTAACAGTAGGACTGAAAGTGTGACCCATGCTAGAAACATCTGGCTACTGCAGGGGAAGGAGAAGCATGTCTCCAGTAGAAGAAAATAAATTGCAGGGTCTGGATGGGGCCTGGTGGGCAGGCCGAGGCCTTGGCTGTTTTTCTACAGGTGACTAGAGCCTTCAAAGCATTTCAGTAGGGTAGGATTATGGCCAGAGGTGTGACTCAGGCAGATTAACCCAATGACAAGACACAGGTGGCCTGGGAAGGGGAGAAGCTTGTGAGAATCAGAGGCAAGAATAAGGGTCCAACACAGTGACACAGGCGAGTCCACAAGCCCAGAGGAGCTGTTGGAGGGGTTTCATGGGTTTTGGACAAAGGTATATTGGGAGTATGGAAGCTAATGATTTCTTCTCCATATGTTTTAAAACTTTAAAAATGTTCCTGTCATGGATTGTGTAGCTGTATGCAGTAACACTGCACATGAGTACATAAGTAACCACAGCGATGGAGTTGTGGCCATACTTGCTGTGTGAGTGAAGCAGGGGAGTCTGACTTGGCCCCACACAGTCAGGGGCCCTTTGCTGAGCTATGAGTCAGCCCAGCATGGTAGGAGACAGGAATCTCAGGGCCTGCCTCCTGCCGCCACTGGCTGCTCCTTACTGCCAAGGAGGAGGCCTCCACCCCTCATCTAACATCCGTGCAGTGGGGCATAGTGTCGGAGTTTCCCAAGTGCCTGCTCATGTGGCCACCTCATGGGCTTCTAGCCATGATTACCCACCAGGTGGGCTACCCACCAGGAACTCTGGTGGGACCCCCCAGATGTCACTGCATAGGCTAAGGAGACCCAACAGTCCATTTTGGAGCACACTTCTGTACGGAGATTTGTCTTTCCTAGTGGTCTCCTTTTACATGTTTTGCAGATATCTGTATTCACAAGTGATGGACCAAAGACATTGGAGCCAACCAGTACACACACGCATGTTAGAACTCTACTGAGTTGAATTTTTGGCTTTGCCACTGAGTAGCAAAGGCTAACTAGTACATTCTAATGCCTCCTTCCACTCAAGTTCAACATTTACCACACACCTACCATTTGCTGACCCAATGGGAGAAATTCTGATTGCCCAGGCACTCAAGGCTGTTCTCACGTCTACCATTAGCACACATTGAGCTTCCTCTTGTGGTACCCTCTCATTGTCTCAGTGCCCCTGGATGTTGACCTGGCTTTTGCCTCACTTACACTTAGGGCACAGCCTGATGTCCCTCCATCAGGATATTGTCACCCCTTCCCCATCACCTGGAAAACTACAGCTCTGGCCCCTCCCAGGCTCTACTCTTGTCCCTACCCAGGGCACTAGAAGTATTTCCTATAGATCCTCCTCCTCCCGGAAGTGAAGAGCACACACTTAGGAACCAGAGTGCCTGGGTTGAATTTTTGTGCCACCACTGATGAGCTCTGTGGCCTTGAGTGTGTTGCTTGACCTCTCTGTGTTTTGGCATCCTCATCTATAAAACGGGACTGAGGATGCTCCTGCCTTGTATGGAGTTATGAGGTTTAAATGAGTTAACACTCTTACATCACTTAGAACAGAGCCTGAGCCACAGCAAGCTCACCTACCCATTATCTAGCAGAATGAAGGGCTGAGCAAGCTGAGGCACTCCTCCAGCTGACAGTTTGGGAGGTTTAGGCCCTAGGTGCCCAATGCAGGGTTGGATGTGATAGCCATAAGCCTTGCTGAAGGGAGGCTGAGAGAGCAGGGGCTCAGTACCCCATCCTATCCTGACACGGCCTCGTGGCTCAGCAGCAGTGAGGTCCCTGAGGGACAAGGCTGGTAGGGGCCCATCTCTGTGGTGACAGTGAGGCCTTTTAGCTCAAATGCTGTGGAGACCCATTGGGGATGATGGAAAGACACTTTTCGCTGAGGCTGGGAGGCTGAGTCCTGATTTCATCACTCCAGAGCAGCCATGCCCATGTTTCTCAGCATGTGTGGCTGGAGATCCGTGCTCCCCGTATGCCGCAGAACTACCAATTCCCACTCAGACTGCTGGTCCATCTACAGTCAGCCTGAACACCTGCCTTCCCAGCAATGGCTCAGGGCAGCCACTGGCCACATGTAGCCATTGAGTGTTCAAATGTGGCTGGTCTAAATTGAGATATAGTGTAAATGTAAAATGCACACCAGATTTCAAAGACCTATAAAAAAATGTAAAATATCTCAATCATTTAAAAATATTGATTATATATTGAAATAATAATATTTTGGACATATTAAAGTTTAAATACAATATATTAAAATTATTTTCATTTGCTTCTTTTCACCTATTCTCATATGGCTACTAGAAAATTTAAAATTACATAGATGGCTTGCATTTGTGGTTTTTTTTTTAATTTATCACATGATTCTAATGGGAATCATTTAGAGATTTTAAACTCTTAAATATTCAATTCTTTTTTTTTTCAGCATATTATGGGGGTACAAATGTTAAGGTTATGTATATTTCCCTTGCCCTCTCTACCCCCTCGAGTCAGAGCTTCAAGCATGTCCATCCCCCAGTTGGTGCGCATCACACTCATTATGTATGTATATACCCATCCCCTCCCCCCCACACCTGCCCGACACCCGAGGGTTATTCTTATATGTCTGGCATTTGTGGTTTTGATATTTCTGTTGGACATCACTGATCTGGACTCGGAGAAGCATGTGAAAGGGGACAGGGGCCACCCTCCCAAAAGGGGCCCCTGTGGGTCGTGGAAGGAGCAGAGAGAACCTTCATGTGAAGGAGGACCAGGAGGACTTCGTTTTCAGCTGGGCCAGGGAGATAGAGTGGAACATGGGGAGGCAGACAGCATAGGAGGAGAAGAAAGGGCACTCTAGGTAAGGTTGCTTGAGCAAAGGCCTAGAAGAACATGGTCAGGTTTAGATAAAGAAATAGACCAAGGTGTATTCTCATCATGTACACGATGAGGACCAGGCCGTAGTATGTGCCCTCTACAACTTCTTCCTGTTCCACTCCCACCCGACTTGAGGACTTCACTGCCAAGAGCTCTTTTGACCAATGTCCCCTTAGTGAAGTGAACCAACATGGTGGGTTGGACAAGGCAGGCTGGGTCTCTGAGGAGGCTGATTTTCTTGGGGTCTCACTTTAGTGGGGAGCCATCTGATGTCTATCTGGTCTATTTTTCAGCTGTCTTCTCTGCGATTTGCCAGCAGGATGAAGCTGGTCACCACAGAGCCTGCCATCAATGAAAAGTATGATGCTGAGGTACTGAGGGGCTTATGGACAGGTGCCCCACTGTGGGGGAGGTATATGGGTTTGCTACCTGGGTCATACAAGCTTGGCATCCCTTCTTTCCTCAACCAAAGATAACCTTATAGCCCTGGATCAGTTTCTTTCTACTCTGGGATAGGCCAGAGTTTTCAGAGTCCCTGGAGAACCTTAGAGGCTGACACAGAGGTTAGGCTACCACCCAGTTCACATGAGAGGGAACTCTGGCTACCCTGGGCTTCTACATGAGATATGGACTATCTTTCAGAATTGCCTGTGTCACAACAAAATCTCTTTCCTCTCAGCCTGAGTGAT